CATGCCACAAGCGCTCATGCAACCCCATACCATCAGTGATGCAGGCTTCTGAACGGAGCGTTGATAACAACTTGGGCTATCCTTGTCCTCTCTGGTCCGGATGACATGGCGTCCCAGTGTTCCATAAAGAACTTCAAATTGTGATTCATCTGACCACAAAACAGTCTTCCAGTTTGCCACACTCCATTTTAAATGACCCCTGGCCCAGTGCAAACGTCTGAGCTTGTGGAGCTTGCTTAGAAATGGCTTCCTCTTTGCACTGTAGAGTTTCAGCTGGCAACGGCGGATGGCACGGTGGATTGTGTTCACTGACAATGCTTTCTGGAAGTACTCCAGAGCACATTCTGTTATTTCCTTGACAGTGGCATTCCTGTTTGAGGTGCAGTGACGTTTAAGGGCCCGGAGATCACGAGCATCCAGTAGAGTTTTACGGCCTTGACCCTTACGCACAGCGATTGTTCCAGATTCTCTGAACCTTTTGATGATGTTATGCACAGTTGATGATGTAACTTAAAAGTCTTTGCTATTTTACATTGGGTAACACCATTCTGGTATTGATGCACTATCTTTCTGCGCAACAATGGTGGAATTGGTGATCATCTTACCATCTTGGCTTCTGAGAGACACTGACACTCTGAGAAGCTCTTTTTATACCCAATCATGTCGTCAATTGACCTAATTAGTGTTAATTGGTCTTCCAGCTGTTTGTTATATGCTCAATTTCCTTTTTCCAGCCACTTATTGCTACTTGTCCCAACTATTTTGGGATTTGTTGACACTGTGAAATTTTGAATCAACATATTTTTCCTTTAAAATGTTACATTTACTCAGATTAAACTTTTGATCTGTCATCTATGTTATATTACGAATAAAATATTGACATTTGCCATCTCTACATCATTGCATTCAGTTTTTATTCACAATTTGTTTAGTGTCCCAACTTTTTTGGAATCCGGTTTGTATATTACTACCTGTGAAATAGTTAGTCATATGAATTCACCCTACCAGCACTATTTTCTATTATGTTGTCGTTTACTATATTTCTTTTGGCCCTTGTAAATATTATTTCTTTTTCACTTTTTGGTACTTTATTTTGCACCCTTATTGGATGCTTTAGTATTTCTTTTTTGATGGCTTTTGTGTTTTTGTTCTTAGCGAGTCAATTCGGTTGTTATCCTGAACATTTCATTACACTGTTCTATTTTAACCTGCATATGACAAATAACATAACATAGCATAACAAATAACACTACATCTACCTCTAGTTCACTCCATCAGTCCCGCTGACAAAAAGCAACAAATCTGAATGGAGCATTAAGACCTACAGTGTGGCCTTAGTGTTAAGCCCCCAGTATACTCACATGTACATCCGTTCACGCGTACGTACGTTCACGCGTACGTACGTTCACGCGTACGTATGCGTGTACTGTACGCAGAGGGTCCAGACTTCGTACTCGAGCGTACACCCTGAGCAGCTGCAGAGCAGCTTCACAGACAAGGGGTATTTACCTTCGGGACAAATTGAGGTCACCGATTGGTAATTTGCTGACACGCCTACTGGATTGATTGACAGGTCGGAAAAAAGAAAAAGAAACAAGTGCTGGCAGCCTCAGCCGCAGCGGTGTTCTGTGTTTATATGTTGTTAATAAAAAGATCTTTAAAAAAAAACAAAAAAAAACTGGGAGCGCTGGCTTTGCATCCAACACATCAAACCAGCCCACCAGGAAATCTCCAGACCCTCCCGCAGCCATGCTGGACCTGAGTTTAATTCACTCGTGACAAATTCCTTCATTTCTCACAATTTCAGTCATGGCATCAACGGAGGAGGAAGAGATCACTTGCCTCTTGGACAAAAAACAAAAGAAAAGGCCAGATCAGGGATGAAGAAGGGGAATTTAATACATTGGTGTCGCATACAAAACAGTCTGTCGCTGGGCAGTTCATTGTACGACACAGTGTACGCGTATGCGGTCATAAAAATTGAGGTTTGCACGGACATGCCTTGGGGGGTACGCTCGTACCTCTGCGTACGTACGTGTGCGTACCTCTGCGTATGGACGTATGCGGGAGTATACTGGGGGCTTTAGACATAAACTTCTGAATGATGGTACTGTTCATATGTTCATCAGTGCTGAAGCATCACACAGCTTGGGTTTATGAACAAACTAATCTGTGCTCAGGTCCAAAAAAACACAGGAAGTGTTTTTAAGTCAAATGGCTGATGAGCATCACAATTCATACAGTGAGTTGTATTTGTGGTGATCAGATCATCAAGGTCTGTGTATGTGTTCTTTCCACAGTTTACAGTCACGAGTCTCCTCCTGTCCAATCAAAGGTTGATATGTCTGCTGGTACCAGTCCAATAGAACCAGAACAACCACCAGCTGCACCAGCAGTCCATTTCCAGTCCTCCCACTCCTGTCAGCCTAGCTTCTACAGTCAGCTGCTGAGGTCTGGAGCTGTGTGTCTGCCTGGTAAGAAAACAGAGAGACAGCATATCATCCTGCACACACCATGCAAACACAACACAGGGTTTCTGCGAGGTCCTAAAAAGACAAAAAGTCCTACACTTGTCAAGATTTTCCATTTTAGATTCCTAAAGAACATTGAATTACATTTCAGATGTGTACTCCGATTCATTCATTGTTTCTTCCTCCAACATTTTTCTTTTTTAAATGTGCTGTGGGTTTTCATTGCTTCTTTATTTCATTGGTTCTGTCTAAGGATTTCAGCCACTGCAACAGAAGTAAAGCTCCCATCATGGAGCGAGCCTGTCAGAATCAATTTATTTACACACGCTTCCCTGAGATAAAATGTAATTGCTTTAGATTAGATTTAAATAAAAAGCTATCAAATGTATTACTTTAAAATTTATTTTACATTGACCCATTACTTTATGTAATTTGAACTGCAATGTTTTTTTTTCTCCCAAAGGTCTTAAAAACTCTTATTATAACTTACTTTTAAACCTGCAGAAACTGCTGATCCAACATTAATGTTACTTCTTGTGTGAAGTTTGGGTCACTTGTTTGTATTAATATTTCAATTCATCCAGAAAAATACCTGAAAGGAAACGATATGTAAAAGTTTTTTTTTACATTTGTGACATGTTGGGAAAGATATCGGCTTCTGAGATTCTCCCAGAGAATGGTAAATGGACTGTACTTATATAGCGCCTTTCTATCTTATCGAGATACTCAAAGTGCTTTACACTACAATCTGTGCCCTCATTTACTCATTCATACAACACTGTACTAGAGAACTGTACAAGTACAAAGCTAATTGAGCAAATCATTCTAAAGAGACTAATCAGGGCTTTATTACATTCATACACCGATGGGACACACATCAGAGTCAATGAGGGGTTCATTGTCTTGCCCAGGGACACTTCGACATGTGACTGCTGGTGGATTCAAACCCCCCCAACTCTTGCATTGGAGGATGACTGCTCTAACCACTCAGCCACAGCCGCCGTAAAGAAGTTAAGCATAGTTTGAGATAAATATTTAGGCTTTCCAGTCTTAAATATGTATTGCCTTTCTCAGTGACATAACATAAATCTGTTTCTAACTCCTGAACAATTTTTCTTTTACACAGCCTGGGTTCCTTTTATCTTTAGTGGTCTTATTTGACAACTTTTCAGTTTTTTACTGTCTTCACCATCATCACCATCATTCTGCTGGGAGACTTCAGTGCCAAACAGTTTAACAGAAAGAATATGATTGAGAGAAATGGCCTCTCTGATCAGATCTGAACCCAAGTGGTATTCAGTTATTGAACTTCAGTGACAGTCATGGTTTGCCTATAAAGATATTACTCTAGAGCACCCTAAGAAGCAGATTGATGATAGAATTTGTGATTGTGTCACCTGATCTGTGGCAATACAGTATATTTTGGACACTCGAGTGTAAAGAAGATCTGAGCTGTCAATTGATCACCACCTAGTGATGAGTTAGATTAGATGGCATAGTGTAGGGAGGGTTTGCTGGAAATGCCTGGCAGAAAAAGAAACATCAAAAGGATCTGCAGCTCACCTATGACAGCTTCAACCATATCCCAGCAGAACTGGGTCCTATTGAGTCCAAGAGGGTCATGTTCTGTGCCTTTATTGTCAAGGCAGCTGCCGTGAGTCAAGGCAGCTGCCGTGAGTCATGGCTGCGATGTTGTTGCTGCTTTTTTTGACAGCCACCCTCAAACCCAGTGGAGGACACCTCAGGTGAGGGAGGGGGATGTTGTTAAGCTGAAGGAGGAGTCCTACCAAGCCTTATTTTGTGGTAGGACTTTTTATTTAACTTATATTTATACAGATAGTATCAATGATTCACAATGACTCATTTTCAAGAGAGACTCAATAGACAGATAACATAGAGTACACGGGTATACAACAATAAAAGCATTTAAAAACAGTAGTGTTATAAAAACAATACAAATCAAAGTACCATATAAAACAAAGTAAAATACTAAAAACAAGATCATATCTGCTTAGATTTATCTAATGACATTTTCAAATGTTTGGAATCCCTTAAATAAATCAAGGTGGACAGCTTCAGATCTTGTTACAAAGTGTTCCATTTTACAGGAGCAGAATAGGAAAAGGCCTTTTTGCCAAGTTCAGTGTCCACTGACGGAACGCTGCAGGTAATGATGGCCTGAGAGAACATGTTGTAACTGCACTGACGACATGACATGTGGGATGAGATATAAGGTTGTTTTCACACCTGATAGTCCGGTAGACTCGGTTCGGTTGGGGACCAATATTCATAACATTTTGTTTACATTTGAGCTGTTGCGTTTGCATTCACACTGCACTGTGCAGTCGAGCCAACCTGTTCAAACCATCCTGTTCCCCCGCTCGTCTGTGGTGGCACTGCACCAAGAATTACTGAAAGAAATGACACAAAACCTCTGAAGACACTTCTTCTTCTTCTGGAAATAAAAACAAAAACGGAGTGGCATCAAGTTTTAGCAGTTTTAGGAGTTATATTTTGTCCTTTTTCAACAATGGACTCAGCATGAGCAGAAGATGAGGCAGAAGACCATGGAGAATGTTGTTTTTCACACAAGGCAGCTGACGGCTCCATATGAGGTAAGAGAAATGAGTGTTTGTTTGCCCTGCGCTTTACTCCACTTCTTGCTTGTGGAGCGGGGCCCGGTCTGATTGCATTCACACTGTACTTGAACTGCGCTGGAGTTCTCTTCTACCGGACCGAGACCTAGGTTTTAGCCCAGGCCAGAGTTCGCCTTTTTGTTCCGTGACAGAGTTCAATGGCGCGTTCACACCTCCCCAAACGAGCCGGACTTCCTAGGAAAATGAGCTAGAGTTTGATTAAAGCGGACTAAACAGGGCTGGTGTGAATGCACCCTAAGAAGGTAGCAGACCAAGGAGGGATTTATAGATGAAAATGAACCAGTGTGAGAGCCAACGTGTAGATAATGATGACCAACTGACCAATGAGTACAGTGATGGGTATGGTAGTTACAACCAGTTATGAACCTTAGCGCACCATGGAAGACAGCATCCAACATCTGCAAGGGGCTGGCAGGAGCATTCATGTAAATAATGTCACCATAGTCAATTGCTGGTAGGAAAGTAACAGCTACAAGGCATTTCCTGGCATTCACTGTTAAACATGATCTGATTCTGAAAAAGAAACCCAGTTTTAATTTTAGTTTCTTTAACGTTTTCAATATGTGGCTTGAAAGAGAAATGTGCATCAATTAAAATTCCCAAGTATTTGTAAGAGTCCACAAACTCAATAGGAACACCATGCGTGGATAAGATAGGAGGAAGAGCTGCTGGCACTGACTTTGTTTTAAAACAACATCCCTTTGGTTTTGTCAGCATTTAGCGCCAGCTTGGGATGGAATAAGTCTGACTGAATGATGTCAAATGCAGACTGTAGAAGCTGGAAAACCTTGGCAACAGTTATATTTCATCCCAGAGGGTGGTGCTGAAAGCACTGAATGTTCCCTTTGCGCATGCAATGTAATACCAACGGAGTCACAGGTGTGACACGGATGACCAATCAGAGGCTATATAGCCTGACATCATTCGTAGCTCTACTATTTTCTTCTCGCATGCAGTTCAATTCAGGGCTTCAGCCCTTTGGACAATTTGATCTTTTCACCATCATCGGAGGCCCGACTGCCCGTTGGCGGGAGTAGTGTGTTCGCCCTCCTAGGGGCTGTGACGGTTTAACCCTGTTCAAAGGTATTTCTGCTGTTCGTTGGGCTCTACGGCGGTTTCCGCCCCCCTCCTAATTTACAGCGTCTGACTACTATGTGTATGATTCAACACTGGTGAGTAGTGTTTGTACTTATATTTCGCCATTGGCTAGCAGTAGCATTCGCTCCGCTCCCGTTTGTTGGAGGCCTTCAACCGCGTGCTCGGTTGGACTGTGCTTTGAAGTTTGTTAATGACTACTATGTGTGATTCAACACTGGTGAGTAGTGTTTTTACTTATATTTTGCCATTGGTTAGCGGTAGCGGTTGCTCCACTCCCGTTTGCTGGAGACCTTCAACCGCGTGGTCGGTTGGACTGTGCTCCTAAGTTTGTTAATTACGTAGCCAGCTGAGTTTCTGGCCTTGTTTTCATTGGTGAAGGCTAGGGGTTGAACCATACCATACCATACCAATTTATTTATAAAGCACTTTAAACAGTGACAAAGCACACCAAAGTGCTGTACAGGGACAAACAGAACAAGCACATAGCAACAAATTACATAACAGGACACCAAAAAGTAGAAACCAACAAAAACAATAATGGATAACAACAACAACCGCAACATGACTAACACAGTGTGATGCACACAGACTCAGCACAGATCACACAGTGCAGAAAGCCAGGGAATAGAAGTGTGTTTTTAAGCGAGATTTAAAAACTGTGAGGGAGGGGGCCTGTCTAACGAGCAGAGGTAACTCATTCCAAAGTCTTGGGCCTGCTACGGAGAAGGCCCTGTCACCTCTGCGCTTGAGACAGGTTCCTGGGACTATTAGGAGCAACTGGTCTGCTGATCTGAGAGAACGTGGTGGGACATACGGCTGGAGCAGATCAGTAAGATAGGAGGGGGCAGAGCTGTTTAGTGATTTATAGACATACAAGAGTATTTTGAATTTGATTCGAAGGTGAACCGGAAGCCAGTGTAGGGAGGCCAAAACAGGTGTAATGTGCTCTCTTTTGCTTGTGCTGGTCAAAAACCGGGCTGCTGCATTTTGGACCAGTTGGAGTCTAGCTATGGAGGTCTGACTGATACCAAAAAGGAGTGAGTTGCAATAGTCGAGCCTGGATGTAATGAATGCATGAATTA